AATTAATTAAATGAATTGTATAATGAAATGTAAAATATGGGCTGGAAACATGCGCTGCAACAATACGTTGGCAGATATAAGAAGGATGTGGAGGAATTAGGAGTACAGAACTGAAACGATGGTAAGAAGCTCGGAGGCTAAATTCTGTGAAGGACAATGGAAAGAACTGAGTATGTCTAACCTAGGGAAGAAAAGGCTGAGGGGACACATAATCACAGTCTATCGATACTTGAAGGGCTGTCACAAGGAAAGAGATGGATGTGTTCTCCATAGTACCTGAGAAAAGAGGGAAAGACAAGTGGAAGCACAGGTATAATATAGGTGGTATCCGGCTCAATAGTAGTAACTGTGAGAGGGATCTTGGAGTCCTAGTGGACAGTCATTTAAATATGAACCAGCCATGTGCAGCAGCTGCCAAAAAGGCCAATGCAATCCTAGGCTGCATTAACAGAGAGATAAAATCAAGATCACATGAAGTGTTAATACCACTTTATAACGCCTTGGTAAGACTCCATTTGGAATATTGCATCCAGTTTTATATAAATATTAAAAAAGGGTATTGAGACTCTAGAAAGAGTGCAGAGAAGAGCAACAAACATAATTAAGGGACTGGAAGGTAAAACCTATAAAGAATGGTTACTGGAACTGGGTATGTCTAGTCTAATGAAAAGAAGGACTAAGGGAGACATGATAGCAGTGTTGCTATATCTAAGGGGTTGCCATAAAGAAGAGGGAGTCAACTTATTATCCAAAGCAGCTGAAGGCAGAACAAGAAGCAATGGATGGAAACGAATCAAGGGGAGAAGCATCTTAGAACTAAGGAGAAATTTCCTGACAGTTAGAACAATTAATCAGTGGAACAACTTGCCTCCAGAAGCTGTGGATGCTCCAACACTGGAAGTTTTAAAGAAGAGGTTGGATAGCCATTTGTCTGAAATGGTATAGGGTTTCCTGCCTGAGCAGGGAGTTGGACTAGAAGACCTCCAAGGTCCTTTCAATTCTGTTTTTGGGAGAGATCCAGACTCAAAATAAAAAGGGGGAATAGAATAGCCTAACTCCTGCAGATGTGGGTACCCTATCACTAATTTCAAACAAAGACAGGATGATCATTATTATATGATAGCTAGAGGAGTTCAGCTAGAACTTTTCCAAAGTCCCTATAACTCTTTGATTCTACGGTTATAAGAAGAGCTCCAGACAGTAGATTAGACCAAACTCCAAACAGAAACAGATCAAAGACAAATTCAGCTGGTTACTTCTTGGAAATCCAGAGATAAAGCAATAAGATAATATCATTTTTTTTTACTACAGAGGTCAGCATCTTTCTCAAGTGTGTACACCACAAAATAAAACCAGCATTTTTCTTTGAAAAGGGCCCAAACCTCAGATTGCTTAACAGATAGTCTCAAATGAATAACTCTATAAGGAAACCAATATTTCATCAGATGCCAGCTATTTTTTTTTCCAATTGTTCAACATTTATTTAGGGGTTGAATAAATCAGATGCATGTATTGTGAAAATTTTTACAACTGATAGCCTTCCTTACACTTGTACAGCAACTAATGTTTGGATATATACTGTATCCTGTCCTGTAACTGGAAGTTGTGACTAAACATTTTGTTATGTTTTGTTTTGAGGCTATCTTTATATATACAGTTGTCAGCCAAATTCCCAAGAATTCCACGAACAAGGCATGAAGTCAATCTTATTCAAACTGCTAATATGTGTATTTATATGAGAACTTCCTTTAAAACCAGAGTAGTTAATACAATGGCATTTAAAAGTCCACCCCTTCTTTCCTTTTTACGTACAGCCATTCAAATATTGACTGCTATTTGCACTACTTAAATAGCAGCTGGTGAAATGTTAACCTTAATCAGCGTAAGGACTTAAATAAAATCCATGGTGAGGAAACTCATTTAGTGGCAATTTGCATTTTGCAGCATCTTCTGGCATACCAACCATCATCAGATGTATCTTTCTTTTAGTTTTTTCCCATAAATATCTTGTTTTGTTTTCAGCCTTTTGTTTGTGGGAAGTGCTATTTTGGGTAGCTAAGTATTGGCACTCCCACCTGGCCAGAGGTGGGTCCCTACCAGTAGTGGTTTCCAGTACGGTGCAATGGAGCCGTGTGTCCACCACATGAATTCGTGCAGCACGTGCGCACATGCGTGAAGCACGCATATGCGTAGTTACCGCCCACGATGCTCCAGCTGCTCAACAGAGCATTGCGCAGGCACTGTAGGCTCCGTGCACATTCACAGAAGCCCCAAACAGCTTAAATGCGGGTAAGGAGCGTGGGCGGGTGGGTGAGCCATCTGGAGCGCCATACTGGAACGGTACCTGGTGCTCCCAGCAGGCACCAGTATACCTGTACCAGGGCGTATCAGTCATATCCCACCACTGGTCTCTACCGGTTTGCACCGGTTCAGTGGAACCAGTAGTGGAAATGGCAACTGGATCTCCAAACTGATAGAGACGGCATACTCCCCATGCCCCTGAACCAGTTCCCCATTACTTCTTTTTTTGACCTTTTAAAATGTTCTGCGCATGCGCAGACCTATTTATAAGCTACTGTGCACAAAATAGAGCACGAACTGAGCTGGAATAATGCCAGCAGAAACCCACCTCTGCACTTGACCATTGGAAATAGAAGAAGAACATATGTAGAAAAATGGGAGGTTAAAAGGATAGAAATATTCCTGGTCTTCCAGAATGGATGATTCTTTTAAATTCTTTGACATTGTTTTCATGAACAATTGATTCTGTGGCCAGGTTTACGTATTAATAAGGCAGAAGGGATTATTTTGAATTTAGCATAGCATGTTGCCCAAACCCAACTATTTACAGTACAGGTAGTCCTCGATTTATGACCACAATTGAGCCCAAAATTGATGTTGCTAGGTGAGAAATTTGTTAAGGGAGTTTTGCCCCATTTTATGACTTTTTCATAAGTTTGTAGTTTGTAGTTTAAGTTTATTTATAGGCCGCCCTTTTCCCTGAGGGGACTCAGGGCGGCTTACAACTTATATAGGAAGGGGAAACATACAATGACATATAGGACAAT